GGTAAGTAATCCTACAATTTTTTGTTTATAACGTAGTTTATACAAATTATTTTTAAAAAAATATACGTATTTTGGAAATGTTGAGTCGAATTAGTCTAGAATCGATTAATTTTATGAAAGAAAACCTTTCAAACAGCCGTAGTCCGTAAACTATGATTCCTACAAAATTGATTCATAAAGAACGGAACGTATCTACCGTCTTATAGGGGGATCTACTGTATATTGAAGTTGAGGCATCAAGAGATGGAAGGAGTTTGATATAAAAAGTTTGCAATCTTGTGTGGAGATTAATAAGCGAAAAGCCTTACCAAATAATCTTTAACTTGGCATCTCAATTTTCCAGTTTCTCCGTGTTGTATAAATTTCCGGATGCTAATTCCTGACAATAACAATATGTGAAACATGCAATGCTATAATGTTGTAAATGCCATTTTTCTCTAAATACATTTGATTCAAGAATTGAGTTCTAAATGTAATATTTTCTTCTGCAAAAAAATATTGTGGCGATAGTGGCACCATAAGTCGTTATATTTTGAAGTTGAATTTATATGGAGCCATAACGTTTAAAGCACCAAAGTGCAAGTCATGTAACTTTTGGCGCGTAAAACGTTACAGACTATATTTACATCATTTTGATATTCCAGAAAATTTGTAACCTAGTGAGTTTTTTACCATTTCATTGTAAAATTGAAATGAATTCATTCACTAGAAAAAGTGTTTTCTACCTCTTCTGTAAAGTTTGTTTTTTGGCATTTACAACGTTATGGTATTGCATTCTTCATGTATAGAGTGTTACTTGGTTGCAAGCTAATAATACAACTGCATAAACTCCCAATCTCTAAATATATTTAGTTAAATAATTGTGATCCCTTCAATAATTTCAAGTATTTCTTTCTGAAGTGATCACACTGAGTTGCTTGTTCCAGTTTTGTATTTTACAGACTACATACTTATTGGCATTGATTTAAAAAGTGCACGATGACTCATAATTAAAACCAATTCTTATAGGAAACAAGACATAAATCATCGTATCACTAAAATGCACATTATAACTTACTACACCAAGGCCATATGATACCCCTTGTAAAGCATAAGCAAAATTATATAATAATAAATTTTGAATTTAACAAAAATGCAACTTTATATTAAGCGGAGACATTTTCACATAGCAGTTCAAAAATATCACAACATAAATATAAAAATTTCTGTTATGCAAAGCCGTTACCTTTAAATAACAGGCAGATATATTTGCACTCTCAGTATTTACTATTTAGTATCATTTACTCATTACACATTAATGGTATTTATTAATCATAACACATTCACATTATAGGACTATATAAATGGCAATCTATTTGTCTGCAATTACAAAAGATATTTTACTGACTCTAAATTGCTGAAATAAAAATTTTAAATTTAGGATTATCGTCAGTTTTCTTAATTTTTAAAAAATTCCAACATTTGTAATTTACCGTAGAGTTATTTGTTCGAAACCAGGATATATTTTACGAACACATTGCTATGAACTTAGTGTGTAATTCATTTAAACTACACTTTATTCAAAATTAATTTGAGCTTTATTGTTGAAAATATAATCGCATTAACTTAAATAAGTTTAATTTTACAGCTTTACATTTCAATTTAGCCCTTAATGTTCTTTTAATCTTAGTCTATATCAATTAGACACATATACATGAGGGCTTATAATTCTCGTTCACTGGTGTGATATTAGAAAATCTTTAATTATTATTTACAATAAGGTACAGCTCTTTTCGACAATATATTATACAAAACACTTAAAATGCATTTCCAACTCAATAGGCTACATTCCTTTTCGGTTAGTGTTCATAAAATTACTAATTGAAGAGGGTCGTATTGAGTCCAAAATGCATTTTAAGTGTTCTGTACAATATATTGTCGAAAAGAGCTATATCTTATTGTAAATAATCATTAAAGATTTTCTAATATAATTCTCATTTACTGGCGTGATGAGCCCTCGAGTATACGTGTCTAATTGATATCGACTAAGATTACAAAAACCTTTAAATTTCTTTTAAATTTAAATTAAACAACTGCTGCTCAAAGAATATATACGGTGAGAAACAATAATCAATTTTTAATTATTATTCTTACCTTGTTGTATTGATTCCAAGAGAAATAATATATTAAAAAGAAAAGGACAATATTCTTATGAATTTCAAGCATAAAAAATAGTAGTAGTTATTATTCACAGACCAGACAAAACAATTACAGGACTTTCTACAAGGAATGTGACATATCCCATTTCCCGTAGAAAATCTAATTTTGAATCCGATCCAAAATTTCATACTTTATTTTGATTAATATGGAATGAAGTGTCGTTTTCTGTCTACGGTCACAGTAGTCGATTCCATTACACGTTTGAGTGTGACTATGCAAATGCGAGCGAGTGAGAATACTTATTCTCGTTTATTACGACCACACAGATAAGAGCGAGAAACAGAGCGTGAAATGTCATCACTTCTTCTCACTCACTCGCGTCTGCATAGTCGCACCCTCGAGCTTACTCGTAGCGGGCAAAAATGTGGCACGACAAGTAGCCTTAATGCCTCGCATTAAAAAATCAATCAATTTATTTACCTGAGAATGTTTAGCTCCATTTCAAAAGTATGGTCAAATCAAAGTACATAATTTATGTTTCAAAGCCTAGGGTCAAAGTATCTTACATGTGAAATGTACATATATTCTGCACTGCATTATTGTATAATAGGTTAATGNGTTTTCTGTCTATGGTCACAGTAGTCAATTCCATTACACGTTTGAGTGCGACTATGCAAATGCGAGCGAGTGAAAATACTTATTCTCGTTTATTACGAGCACACAGATAAGAGCGAGAAACAGAGTGTGAAATGTCATCACTTCTTCTCACTCGCTCGTGTCTGCATAGTCGCACCCTCGAGCTTACTCGTAGCGGGCAAAAATGTGGCACGACAAGTAGCCTTAATGCCTCGCATTAACAAATCAATCTATTTATTTAACTGAGAATGTTTAGCTCCATTTCAAAAGTATGGTCAAATCAAAGTACATAATTTATGTTTCAAAGCCTAGTGTCAAAGTATCTTACATGTGAAATGTACATATATTCTGCATTGCATTGTTGTATAATGTGTACTGTACTGTACATTGTATGTTAATTAAATAATTGATTTGTAAAATATTTCAATAATTTATCACATAAATTTCAACAGAAATATAAAATAATAATAAAAATCACCTTCCAATTCATCAGGATCAAGGACATCTTCCTTCTTGCATTTCTCTTCATCATCTTCTTCATCACTATCCAAGGAATTTTTAAATCTTTTACAATTCAGATAATCTTTATCGATGTATTCGTCGTCGCTGTCTTCTAATTGCTCTTCCCTCTTCGACATTTTTTTATTTATAAAAATAAACAATAGCACGTAACGTTATATTCAACGATATAAACCGATACTTTCCTTACGAAACATCAAATACCTTCGCACTAGCGCCATCTGGAATATTTTTTACCGCTTGTGTAGAATTTTTTTTTTAACTGTACAGTCTGAGGTTTTTGGGCTATTTTCAAAAATAAAATAATTATTTTTTTTTATAACTTACAAAAGTTTATCTTTACCAAAGAAAAAATTTTTCGTGTAAATTGCATAATTTTTTTACCTAGCTCAATTTTTTAAATTTGTTGGAATATTCCATATATTATTCAATTACAAACGCTCGATCCTGTGGATGGCCGCCCAGACACCCGAAAACATTCTATAAATAAAACGTTTCGTGCTGGAAAAGACTTCAACTGTTATCATAAGAAAAACTATCTTATACAATGTGTAAGCGGGAGTGACAGACTTGTCACATTTTCCTAAAACAATGGTCACACCTAGCGATTTCCAGCCTGGTAACTGCCTCCGGTTGCGCGCGTATTATCATAGTCACGTTATTTCTGCCACGACGATAACTATTTTCAAAGTTTCCACCGAATGACTTGGGACAAAGGCGTTTTCTAAACGGATGCGCATTTGCAATCGGCGCGAGTAGAACAAACTGTTCGCTTCTAGTTGCAGTTGCATTTGCTTGCGCGGGTGGAAATTGCAAAGTGTAACACGATTGAAGGCTAAGCTTGAATCTCGATCCTACCTGCTTTCTAACATTATAGTGTTATAGTGAACGTGAAGTTTTAAGGAATCGAATAAAGAACCTATAATCAGAGAGTGGTCATACGAGAGCTGTCGCCATGTCTTTTCCAAACGCTTATTTAGCCGCAGCCACATACTATACTTAATTGGGGAAATAAAATTATCTAGCACTTATTTAAATGGAAATTCGAGTAGAAGAAAATAAATGTCGTTTTTTCTATTTTTAAAATTAATTTTTACTATTATTATTTCTTTATTTAATATACTATTTGATAATTTTCGAAATTTGTTTATGATGAGATTTACCCGATGCCATGAGTGACGAGCCAATTTTTTAAAAATATCCTAAATAGTCTATTAATAATTTAAATTGCTTTATGTTATGCACTGGATATTTTTAAACAATGCACTGGATCAATAATAAAAACTCAATGGTTTCTTCTGAACAATAAGAATGTGGAATATAATATACACATTTATTAAATTTCCACTAACAATGCCAAAGACTTTCTACATTGCTTGATTTATAGATCCATATCACATGTGTTATAGCATTGACAATTAATCCCATATCTTCATTATATTTAATTATATTTTTTAAAACAGAACCATTTGTTGAGTTGCTTGTTATTTATTAAACTAAAATAATAATTTAATATAAGTGGCTTATGATAAATACTGTATAATTAAAATATATTTATTATCACCAATCATTTCAATATCATATTCTATTTTATATATTTTATGTTCAAAATTACAAATCTACTATAATTTATACTATTTTTTTTTTTATTAAAATAAAGTAAATTTGTATAATTATTACAGTGTAAAATAAGTTAAACTAAACATTAACTTCGTATTTAACTAAAAAAATATCAGTATATAACAACTGATATTAACTTTCGTTCCGATCTGGCGAAAACGTTTAGAAGAAATATGGCGGTATAAGATCGCGTGATCACAAACTGCTAATAGAAAAGCGTTTATTATATGGTCACTCTCATTACATGTTCTCTAGAATCGAAGACTAACAAAAAATGACGCAGAAACTTACAAACGTATCAATGACATTATAAAGGTAGAGATAAAAAAGGCCAAGGAGGAATGAATAAAGAGAAACTGCAACGAAATTGAAAACCTCGAAAAAGAACACAATATGTTCCAGATGCATAAGAAAATCAAAGAAATGACGGGTTCATTCAAGTGTCATCGCTCTAATATACTAATGGATGCTAATAACAGTCCTATTATTGATGAAAATGAACTGAAAAACACGTGGAAACATTACGTTGAAAAACTTTTTGATGAGGAAAGACCAACACCCATAAATAAAGACCCAATAGAAGGTCCTGAAATACTCGACGAAGAAGTAAAGCATGCCATTCATATCGCAAAGAATAAGAAAATTCCCGGACCTGACGAAATCCCGACTGAAATTGTGAAATTGATCGAAGATGATAATATTACATTAATTACTAGATTATTCAATTGGATCTACAATACAGGCACAATACCAAAAGACTGGTTAAAATCAACCTTTGTAACAATCCCTAAAACAAGTCATCCTAAAAGATGTAGCGACTACAGACTCATTAGTCTTATGTGCCATATTCTGAAGATATTTCTACATATTATACATGCCAGGATATATAAAAAATGTGAAATTGATCTTGAGGAATCTCAATTTTGATTCAGAAATGCTTTTGGAACAAGAGAAGCGTTGTTTAGTATCAACGTCCTTCTCCAGAGATGTCGTGAAGAACAAAAAGACATATTTGCTTGTTTCATAGACTATGAAAAGGCTTTCGATAGTGTGAAACACTCCAAATTAATAGAGATCCTACACCAAGTTCAATTAGATGGCAAGGACATCAGAATAATTCAAAATTTATACTGGGGTCAAACAGCAGAAGTCAAGTTAGGAACAGTGAAAACAGCAGAAATTGAAATACAGAGAGGAGTCCGGTAGGGCTGCATTCTTTCGCCCCTATTGTTTAATCTGTACTCAGACAAACTCTTCAAAATCGCCTTAGAAAACTCAAATTATGGGATTAAAATCAACGGCGTAATTCTTAACGTTATTAGATATGCTGATGATACACTAATCATATGCGACAGCCTAGAAGGCTTACAGATACTACTAAACAAAATTAACTCAGCAGGAATTGATGCCGGTCTCAAAATAAATGCAAACAAAACTAAATTTATGATTTTTGGTCAGACCCCACACAGAGAGGCACGACTTGTTCTTGATCAAAAAAAATTGAACGGGTCAAACAGTTTAAATACTTGGGAAGCATTAATTACAGAAAATCTAGATTCAGGAAAAGAAATTAAATGCAGGATAGCAGCAGCTAGAACATCCTTCCAAAAAAATGAAAACCTTGCTCTGCAACGACAATTTAAATTTGAAATTGCGGCAACGCATGGCCGAATGTTATATTTGGTCAGTTCTCCTCTATGGTGTGGAAAGCTGGACATTAAAAAGGAATACAGAAAGAAGACTGGAGGCATTTGAGATGTGGATTCACAGAAGGATGCTGAGAGTCCCATGGACGGATCGAGTGACCAACAACGAAATTCTAAGCAGAGCAAGAACAAACAGAAAATTGCTGTCAACAATCAAATGCAGAAAGATTGCATACTTGGGACATATCACTAGAGGAGAAAAATACAAAATCCCACAACTAATCCTTAATGGAAAGATTGAGGGAAAGCGTAAACGAGGTCGAAGACATTTATCATGGATGGACAATATAAAAAAATGGACAGGCATACAAAACATTGGGGAGGTAATGAGAAAGGCCAAAGATAGGAAATCCCTCTCCTTGGTGATCGCCAACGTCCGGGGGACCGGGCATGGCACGTGAAGAAGAAGAAGAATCGAATGCTCGATCGCTTCGAAAAGTTTAAAAAAAAGGCTTTTTTAAATCGTATTTCCTAACGAATTTTTCACATTAAATTAGAAAATTACTATTCTATTATTTCTGTTGTACATTGTGGTTTATGTAAGTGGGCAATTCCTTATTATTTATTACACTGAGGAAAATGTGATATTTAATAAGCGTTATNAAAAAAAGGCTTTTTTAAATCGTATTTCCTAACGAATTTTTCACATTAAATTAGAAAATTACTATTCTATTATTTCTGTTGTACATTGTGGTTTATGTAAGTGGGCAATTCCTTATTATTTATTACACTGAGGAAAATGTGATATTTAATAAGCGTTATTTGAGTTTTAATTCTGAAATTTTATAAGCTATCGGGGCAAAGCCGGCCCTAACATAGGGCGAACGCAAGGACTTTAAACTACAAGGATAGCTAGATCCCGTATATTTGTTAGCGTGACCTTGGATCTATGTGACGTCACAGCAAGCTCTCTACAGATCTTTCAAATAACAAAATACGATAAAATATTAAATCATTTCTTAATTAATTATTAAATTACTACTAAATGTAAACTACTGTAGAATTTTCGGATTTAATAAGTGTACTGTACGTCAATAAATTTACAAGTCTTTTGTCTAATATTTATTTAACAAATTAATGAGCTATA